AAGCCTTGATAATTTTGAAGCCCAAGTATTAATAATTTCTTAATACTTAAATCAATTAAAAAAATTTTTATTAAAAAATTATTATAAAATTAAATAAGTAATATAAAAATAATCTCATACAATGCACTGATTAAAAAAAAAAGTAGTTAAATATATAATTATAAAATAATAATTAATAAGTATAAGAAAGTTTAATGCTTAAAAAATTAATTTTTAGAAATTAAAAACATATTTAAAATGATAAAATTCATGAAATGTTAATATTATAATATTAAACAAAACAATATCTCAACACATTCAATATTTATTTATAAAGATTCATATATTTGTTTGAACCTAAACCCAACACAACTAAAGAATTAAGCATTTATTTAGATTCGTAATATATTCTTTTAAATTTAAATTTAATTAAATAATTATTTGATCTGTTTAGTCAAAAATAATAGTAATTTGATATCTAAGTCATGATTTATATATATTAGAAAATTAAAAATATTTTCATAAAAACTAAGTATATTAATAATTTGAAAACTAAACATATTTTTATGATATTGTTTCATTAATGATTAAAAAAAAAATTAAAAAAACTCATACCAATGAAAACTTCTAGGCAGAGCAAATGACAGCTCCTCACATGTAGGACTTTTCATAGGTCTTGGGATCGAGACCAATCCATTCTCCCTTCCCAAACAATGGAACCATGTTCAAAAAAAAAAAAAAATCGTACCAATAAAATTTCGATCTACCAACCCATACACTAAAATTTACTCAAAATGACAATGTTTAACCAAAATAAAATTTAGCTTTATACCATTTCCAATTAAACTTAAAACCAGTACATGGCAATCGATGGTGTCGGCCGACACGAAACAGTATTGGTAAGCCATGTGGGACCCATTAACAATAAGATAGCCACGCGAAATATAAAGAACAGGAAAATCAAGTTATTGGCCCCATGAGATTAGAAGCCATGTGGGACCCATTAACATTAATTGCTCAGAGGCGAGGGACTGTTCTTGACTTGACTTTTTTGTTTTTTTAAGGGATTGTCTCTTCCCGCATGTAGACTTCGCCTGTCTTATCTGGTTAAATTACCATTTTGGTCCCTCTACTTTAAGTTTTGGACCAAGTTACTTCCCAAACTTTAAAAATGATCAAAATCATCCTTAAACTTTAATTTTCTGATGCCATCTTGGTCCTTCCTTCAATTAAATGCTAACATGGACAGTTAAGTGGTCTTAAAATACAAAATTTTAAACTTAAAATATTACATGAAAATTGT